TCGTCCTGTCTTCGTTGTTTGCGGACGGCGATGACGAAGATTGAACTTTTCAGCGGCCATGTTTGCAAATCGTGCAACCCATGAAATCAGGCAATCAAAGCGGAAGAAGAACTGAGGCTTCATTTTGTGAGCCCTTTGCTGAGCATTGCTTGAGGCTAAGAACGATAAGCCAAACCGACTGAAGTGCGATGCAGGTGACATCGACATCTACAACCAAAAGAAGAGCTTTTCACGTCAAACCTGCTCTCCTGCCTAGCCCTTCCTGTGCAGCGTCTCAGCTTGACTTTGCAGGATGGGGACTGGTGCTGGAAGCAAATATGGCAGCAATTCTCCGCGACATTCCGCGACAAAGATGACCCAGACTTGGTTTCGATGACTTTTCAGCCTAGGGGTTTTGCCGTCGCCCCGCTCGCATGGCAGATTGCAACGGGTTCGTGCTGCCATCAGCGGACGATGCTTCAGTTGCGTGAGTGTGCCTCAGCAGTGCCGAAGTCTGAGCGCTGCGAACTTGCATCCTTCCTTGTTGTGTGAGCAACAGGATTCACTGACTGAGCAGGCTACTACGTTCAATTTTTCAAGTCAAGCGGGGCATGCCTGCACTGGTCAAAAACAGTTTCACAAAGGGATTCCTGGTTGTGCGTGAGATTGCGTGAGTGCACAGACGCAATCAATCCATTTCAAGAAGTCTGGGGGAAAGAGCGCTTGCTTTGCTTTGCTCAGCCAGTAAACTCCCCTTCCAGCATGATTTGGAGCGCTTCTAGTGTGACAGGAATTTTGTGCAAGTGTTGTCCGGCCCTGAACGCCGAGCCTTAAGTCCCTAAGCACCAAAGTCGCAATCCAATGTGCTCAACCTCCCGGAAGAAAGGCTGGAGCTTTTGTGGCGGCATTCTGTGATCGCTGCGAACTCCAAGGGCCGCAGCTGCATCGACGCATGGCTGTCACCACTGCGTCTACTTCGTCTACTTCTATAGGTTTTGAGGAGTTGGGCTGGGGTCCGCGCTCGTCCTGAGGACAGCTTGTTGGTGGCGGCGGGTCCTCTGTGCTGAGCGAAGCGGCCTTAGAGCGGCTCGTGCTGGTGCCGCGCACGAAGCTGGCGGATGCTTTCGCCCCACGGCCAGAACGGCGGAGTGTTCAAGGGATGAGTCTAAGGGCTGCGCTAATCTGTGCCTTTTCGAGTCTAGGGCTTGAGCTTGAGGATTGTAACTCCCTAAACAGCGCTGAAGGGTCCCGGGAGCCAAAGTTCCATTCGTGCATGTTGGATGGCAATTCCACAACTGAAAAGAACGGCAAGAAGCGTTTCATCTGCGATCCCACCGCGTTGGGAGCAAACTTTTCGAATGCATGCATATAAAGCAACTGCAAACACACCGTTGCAGGGTCTCGTTTGCAAGCTCATGTTGCCAACATGACAAACACCAGGAGCCCTGCATCTCAGCCTCAAAGCCGAAGTCAGGAGAGAAACAGCGTGGACATGATCGTGATCGTCTCTAGGCTACAGAATGGATAGCCCCTGGTAGCTTGTCAGTCGGGCTTGGGCTTCTCAGATCTGACTCAGCTTGAGATCAACTGGGGCTGGCAACGTTGAGGCTTCAGGTGTCTGTGTGTGTGACTTGTACGTGTTTATTTCCTTGGGTTTTTACGTGCTCAAGACACATCTGTGATATGCTGGACTCGCCAGTGCACCTGCAGGAGTTGCATAATCGTTGATGTTTCTGCAGCAGCATGTCTGTGCAGACCACAAGTCACGCTCGGACAACCTCATGCTGTCTGAGCTTTATGCCCCAACCGAGCCTTAATCAACAAATCTCTGGTCTGACAGCAACAGTATGGCATGTTGCACTTGGCACTTGCAATGCAATGGCCAAGGATCAGACCAGCGACCTGATGCACACAGATGGGCACACAACAAGTTTGGATGGCTGCTGGGCTGAAGGGCTTCGAGACCTTGCCTGGTAGGCCGAAATTCATGCAGGTTGTGTTGAGATATTTAAATTGAAGGCGAGTTCACTGCTTCGGGCTGCAGGTGTTGAGGGTCTAAGTCTAGGTAGCGAGGGTTCACGCAGGCTGCCGTTTCAATGGGGCAGACGCACATAAACCTAAAGACCCAGAAACCCAGCACCAAAGCCGCCCAAAGCCCCAAAGGTTCTTTTCTCGCCCGTGCGAACCGATTCCTCCGGACCGGCGGCCGCGTGGTCGGTGTCGATATGGCGCCTCCTTCTCTGCCGGCTGGTGGCTTGACTTGACGAATAGAGCCTCGGGTTCTGTAACTGCGAAGCAGAGGGGTTGGTCACCGATTTGGCAGGTAGGGAAAGCCCTACAGTAGTTGAATTGGGTGTTGCGGGTAGCGACCCAGAGGGCTTTCTTGCGTGCTTTAAGCTTTTGGGTTGCGAACCCTGGCGGCTTCCAACAGCACTGGCAAATAATGAGGAAGACTATCAGTAGAATCTGAGTATGAATGGCAGTCGTCGCTGATTGTGGTGGTTACGGCATCTGTCACTTGTGATCACCACGATACCATTCTTATTGCTAGTATTGCTATTAATTACTAGTATTACAGATATCAAAATGTTGAATATTCTTACTTTCATTACTAATACTACTGTTATGGCTGGTTTACTGTTATGGCCATTATTACTTTTGCTACTATTATTGCAAATTATTGCTATTATTGCTTTTATGAGGTGTATTCTAGTATTTCTATTACTATGATGTTGGTCTGTGTCATTGTTCGTGTTCTTGAGGCAACTCCAACATCAACATCATCGTCATCATCAGCATCAATATCATCATCAACATAATCATAATCCTCACCACCGTCGCCATCACCATCACCATCACCGTCATCATCATCGTCGTCATCATCACTATCATCATCATCATCGCCATCTCCATAACCAGCGTCAACGAGATGGTCATCATTGTCACCAGCGCCATGACCACCAACACCATCCTGATTTTGTCAGTATCGCTCTCAACACTGTCATCATTATTATCATCGTACTTTCATAGATCATCATCATTACTGTCATCATCGTGATCCTCGTCGAGGCGGTGGTGCGGGTAGTCGTGTATGCTTGTCGCCGCTTTGTCCTCGTCGTATCACCGTCCTCCTCGTCCTCGCCTCCGTCGTCGTCAAGGTCGTTTTCGTCATATGTCGTCATAGTCCTCGCTGTTGTTGGCCATAGTCTTCCGATAGAATATGGCTGTTGATGTTATCGTTATCGAACGGTGTCAGTTGCGTTCCTTGTCGTTGTTGTTCTAGTTACGTTTTTGTTTGTGGTTGTGATGGTCTTGGTGGTGTTGAGGGCTTGGGGACTTAAGAGCTTCAGGGGTTACACCGGCGGAGTATAGGATCCCGAATCTGGCAATCTTGGTCTTCCTTGGAGGGTTTCAGAATCGAGTTCCTGGTGCAGGATATAGTGCAAACCCTGAGGATCCGCGCTTTACTTCGAGTCCGGCCTTTGGTGGTTTCCGTGGCCTTCCGGCTTCGCTGAGGCAGGTGACTCGTTTCAGGGCTTGGGGCTTTGGGGTGTCACTAGATTCCGACATCTTTGTCACTGTCGGCTCTCGCTGCGATACTGCAGCGTTGTGCTTGTCTGGCATCTCACGTCGATTTATTGACTTGGGGCCCGATGCCTGCGCAGGTTTTTGACAGTAGCAGGGAGATGTACCCTGGACCTTCAAAGCTGGTCGGAAATCGGGAAGGAGTAGAAAACAGAAAATCATGCAGTGAGCAACTGCAAGGCCGCCCCAAACTCTAGTATTAAATCCAGATCCACAACTTTGGCACCGTGGATCCCGAAGCCTCACAACCGAGGCTCCGTAGGAGGGAAGGCTTAGCGAGTGGCTGCTTAGAAGGTGCCTCCATAAGCTGGTCAAGTCTACAAAGCCGCCCACCACCACCACCAGCAGTAGCAGCAACAGCCACCACCACCATCACCAGCCCATCACCACTGCCACCACCGCCACCATCATCACCACCACAACAACAACCACAACAGCAAGCTGTATCAGCGAGGTGCGAGCAGCTAATGGCCCGGAGAGCCCTTTGCTGTGCTTCTTTGAGGTCTCGTCGCGTCACGATGACATCACCGTGCACTGGTATGTGGAGACCCGTCTTGGACCTTTCTGGAGCAAATTTGGAACGCAGAGTTGAAGGTCATGCACTTCTGGTTTATGTAGGGATTGAGGCTGCAGCTTGCGATCAGGTCAAGGATCCGGAGTTACAGCGAGCATTCTGATGTTGGGACTTAAGCGCTTGGAGTGCGATGCAAAGGATTTCTCGGGAAAGGCCTGTTGACTCTGTTGACAGAAAGGCCAGCAGGAGGCAGCGCATGTCCAAGAACGAAAGTGCATTACCCAACCGCACTAACGACCTCAAACAGTGATCCTCGGGCTGCTGCAAGCATGCAGTTTCTGAATGATCCAAGGGGTGGCATCTTCAGAGACTTGCCAAAAGTGGGTTCAGACGTTTCGGGGATTTAGGGCGTTTGCGGCGGAAGATCATGGTTTTTTCAAGACTCCTCTTCATCATGCCTGACATTGATGACAAGATGCGAAGGGCTTGAAACCCCCACCCCACACACGTAGAACCCGAACCTCTAAACATCTCGAGGCTCAACATCCCAAACCCGGAAACCTCTCGCTCGCCTCTTCGGGCCAAAGGAACCCCGTCGTCCGTGCTCCGAGTTCCATAGCCTTTCGACTGCTCCGTGAAGTCTGACACCCTACTGTACTTACACCCTACTGTACTACACTCCAAACCCTAAGTTTAGGATTCTCGGCTTGTTTGGTGTTTGGGTTTGGGGCTTAGGGTTTACTGAGATGTAGGCTTTACCTCCTCTCAGAATGGGTACTTGGCTAGCTTGACTGATGAACCACAATGTAAACCAACATCCAGCAATTCTGCTTTCTCAGGATTCTACAAACAGATGTCTTACATGTCGTGGACCTCATATTGGCGTAAGCAATGTACGAGCATCAAGACTTCTAAACCTGGGTTAAACACGGGAAACCTGGCCGAATGGATCGAGTAGCAGACCCAAAAGATTGAGTGGCGGAGGCAGTGTCGACTCATCATCGTACTCGAGAACGGCCTCAATCCTCGAGAAGGCCCAGGAGGTTTGAGACATGGACTGGTTCTTCTCATAGGTGCTGTTCATCACAGCAATGAGCAGATTCACCAGCAGCACGTTGCAAACGAGAGCCAGTATGTAGACCAAGACCGTGGCTGTCATCCTCGTGATGGGAGGAAGAGTCTTCAGCTGGGCCAATGCCGCCTCGTCCATGCTCCCCACAATGGTCCAGAACGCCCAGGTGAGGCCCTGGCTACTGAGTAAATACAGCAGAAACCGACTATGCAGAAGCCTTCTTACCACATTATGGCTACTAGAACGTAGAAGATACCGGGAAGCAGCTGTTGCCCTGACCTGCCTGGTTATCCCTCTCCTCGATCTGTGAGAAGAGAATTGGAGTGATGGCGCAGCTGAACGCACAGCAGAAAATGAACACCAAGATGAAGAATTTCAGCGCGTCCTCATGATGACAGCAACGAGAGGCAAGAGCAGGTTGCTGCATAGCAGAAGAAGCACTGTAGGGCATGTTTCTCAACAAAGGCCGACTGCCCCGTATGACAAAGCGATCTCTGAATTTGACGGCCTAGCTTGACCAAGAGAGGCAGAAAGGAAGGGATACTGCTCGTTGAATTTGGCTTCGCACACCGATAGAAATCCACTGAGATTTCTCCTTGGCCATTCCGAAGATGGTGATGAGAAGGGTTCCGAAATGCTCCGAGTTCTGCAGCACTTGCAACACACGGATCCAACCTGAGCTGAAGAGCTTTGGGGGCCCCGAACCGCGCCTAAGAAGCCTATGCACAGACATATTAATATGTATACAAGTATCACATGCTGAGTCACATGCTGCTAACTTATACTACATCGTGGGACATCGGCTCATGCTCTTGGACGTCAAACGGCCTGGGACACCAAGCTGAGTACAACCCAAGCAGCATGGCAGCAGATTCATCGCATGCATCACCTCCAGCACTTGCTCCTGAGCTGTCTCGAACTCTCGGCAGTACCGACCATGGCTGTACGCGATTCGTTTACTGCTATAGGTGGCAAATATAAACTCTTTCATGTCATGTTCTTCTCCAGCAACAGTTTTCATACTGCTTACAGATTCGGTGCCCTATGGCGAGTCCAGGGTATCCCTCGCAAGCTAGCTTCCCTCAAGCCCTGAAGAAGCTCGAATCTCGACGAGGCGACAAACTACGATTCTCAATGGCAGAAGGAAATCTGCCGGGCCCGTGGCTAGTTCGCATGCAGATCACTGAAACGCACCGCATCTGTGTCAGAACAGGAACGATCCCTACAGCACCATGGAGCTTGTTGGCAGAAAGCAGCTTTTTGAGGACTGAGTTCTCAATGCTGCAGGCTATGATCACAAGGATCCTTGTTTGCAGGGGCGTCTACTTTCCGCGATGTTACAAAACCATCAAAGTCTCCGGCTTGTTCATGTCCCGGCTCTGGTCGGCCAGGAGGAGTCCAAGCACCAACGCTGAAAGGAGCACCTCGATGTCAGGGTATAGTATTGCAATACGGAACCCTACGCAGGCACTATATTGGTAGTTATGCATGCTTCCATATTAGGCTAAGTTCCGGTTTAAGGAATTGGGGCTCAGGCTCAGGGATTAGGGGCTGGGACTTCAGGACTTTCATCCCCGGCCCTGGCTTTCAAAACTCGTGGTAAGGGTGCTTCATAGGCATCTGTCCTCAGGATTTCGGTGTCGGAGGTCGAAGATCGGAGAAAGTACCTATCCCATCAAGGGTAAAGCAAAGGGAATGGCAGCGGGGGCACCGTGATGTGCAAGGCGTCCAAGATGTTCCAAAAGTCGTTGATGTAGGAGGTAAACCTGGCTGAAGGCGTAGTCTGAACCCAAACAAAACCCGAGTTCCTCAGGGCCAACGCCGGCAGCAAAACACAGACACACACACACACACTGCCTAGATCAGTAAAGCACTGTGCAGAAGAGGACAGGGGGCCCCGACACAGATGCTGTTGCAAATCAATAGAAGACTAAGGCCAGCAATACTAGTCAATGCACATCATAGTACTACTACCAAGTAGATACGTAATATTGCGCCAACCCGATTGTTGCTCGTGGCCGGCAGCTGCAGCCCCTTGAACCTAGACCAGACCCTTCCTGATTCCATTGACTGCCAGAAAAACCACAAGTTCGCTTGCACTCGTAACTTATGCATGGGGCTCGAAACCAAGCCAAATAAATAGGCTTCACAAGGCTTTGATCATCAAGACATAGACTCGAAAACCTAGGGTGTGTGGTGCTTCGGCCGTACTGAGCCTTCAGCTCCAATCCAAAGCCCCAGGCAATGCCCAACGTGGGCCAAGAAACCCGCTCGTCTGAAATTGCCGAAGCTCGACCAGCGCAAGGCCCAGAGCCCAGAGGAAGAGCAGCACCTGGATTCTGGATTTCGG